AACTCAACAGCAAAAGATTTGGTGTGTTGTTTTTTTTCCAGGACTCACACTTTTCAATTTTAAAACATACTGTAAAGCTACAGTAATCAATAGTCTGGTATGATTATAATGATAGACATATAGACAAACTCAGAGTCTAAAAATAAAACCATACACCTAAAGCCAACTGATTTTCAACAAGAGTGCCAAGTCCTTTCAATGAAAAAAGAATACCGTATTTTCCACATATAATATGCCCATGTAAATTAATACACAAATGCATATACTGTGCATAGTGCACATAGGAGGTAAGCAAGAGGGTTTTACATGGTTTGCAAAAAATGTGTGATATGTACAGTATTTGCATAAAATATGGTAGTCTCTTCAAGAAATGGTCCTGGGACAACTGGATCTCCTTATACAAAAGAATGAACTCATACCTCACATCATAGACAAAAATTAACTCAAAGTGAGTGGATCAATGACATAAATGTATGAATTAAAACCATAAAACTTTTAGAACAGAAGGGTAAAGCTTTGAGACTTAGTTTTCTACAACGGATTCTTAGAGATGACACAAAAAGCACAAGCAACAGAAGACAAAATAGGACTTTATACAAGTTAAAAACCTTTATGCATCAAAGGACTTGAAGAAGGAAATTGAAGAGACAACCTAGATTGGGAGAAAATTTTGGGGAACCATCTATCTGACAAGATTTTAATATACAGACTATATAAAGAACTTTGACAACTCAACAACAAAAATGGCAAAAACTCAATTTTTAAAATGGGCAAAGGACTTAGACATTTCTCTAAAGATATACACAATGTCCAATAAGCACATGAAAAGATGCTCAACTTCATTAATCATTAGAAAAAATGCAAATCAAAGCATAATGAGATACCAGTTCACATCCACTTGTTGTTGTTTTGCCATTGAGTCCAACTGACTCATAGCGACCCTTCCTTGGGTTTCTGAGGTGGGATCACTACAGAAGTAGATTGCCCAACTTCCTTCCGAGGAGTGGCTGGTGGGTTTGAACCACCAGCCTTCTGATTAGTAGTCCAGTGCCTTAGGCACTACACTAGCAGAGCTAACCCACTAGGTTAGCTATTATCAGAAAATAGTAAGTTTTGATAAGGATATGGCAAAACTGGACCCCTTCTCCAGTGCCAGAAGGAATGTAAAAAGGTGCAGGCACTGTGGAACAGTTTAGCAGTTCCTCACAAGGTTAAACACGTGAATTACCACATGACCCAGCAATTCTACTCCTAGGTATTGTTGTTGTTGTTATGTGCCATCGAGTCAGCCCTGACTCATAGCGACCCCTCCTTGGGTTTCCGAGGCAGTATCACTACGGAAGTAGGATTGCCCAACCTTCCTTCCGAGGAGTGGCTGGTGGGTTTGAACCACCAGCCTTCTGGTTAGCAGTCAAGTGCCTTAGCCACTACGCTACCAGAGACAAACAAAAATTCACTGCCATTGAAGATGATTCTGACTCATAGTGACCTTATAAGATAGAGTAGAAATAAACCACAGGGTTTCCAAGACCGCAAATCCTTACAGAGGCAGACTGCCGTATCCTTCTCCCATGTAGTAGCTAGTGAGTTTGAACTACTGACCTTTTGGTTAGCAGCCGAATGCCTTAATCACTGCACCACCAGAGCTCCTAGGTATATACCTATATTAATAACTCGCTGCCTTCAAGTCAATTCTGACTTACTACAACCTTACAGGTCTGAGTCGAACTGTCCCATAGGGTTTCCAAGGCTGTAAATCCATTTTGGTTAGCAGCCGAGCACTTAATCACTGCATCACCAGGCCACCAGACCGCCTTACCTAAGTGAGTAACAGCCAACATAGGGTAGTTTCTAAAACATGAAAATAACTCATCCCCACTTGCACACTTCATCATCCTGACACCAGCCACCCACATGGCACTTTCTCCTTCTGATCCTAAGCCCCTAGAGTTGGGTCTCCACAAATTACGACTATGTCCTTCCAGACCCTGCTTTCACCAGCCCCCATGGCTTCTAAAATTTGCTAGAATTGCAGAACTCTTAGAGACTATCTATTACTCACTTACTATAACCAGAAAGGATACAAGCAAAGAGACGCATCAGGCAAGGTCCAGGGGAGAGGTCCTGGTAGGAGGAGGCTTTCAGTGTCCCCAGGGACTTGCCTGGAACATCATGTTTGGTGATGAGGAGGGCCCAGAAGGGCATGGGAGACCCTCAGTGGCATAACAGCCTCAACAATGAACTCAAACAGGCTGGCAATTGTAAAGATGGCACAAGACAAGAAAAGTTTCATTCTTGTGGTACATGAGATTGCCATGGTCTACTCTATACCAACTAACAAGAAAGCATTTTTCACTAGTAAAAAGTAAAAGAGATCTCTTCAGAGGTAAGGCTTAAAATGTATAAAAATCAAACCAAATTCATTGCCATTTTGACTCACAGTGACCCTACAGGTCAGGGTAGAACTGCTCCATAGGCTTTCCAAGACTGTAAATCTTTTGGAAGCAGACTGCTCCATCTTTCTCCCGTGCAGCAGTTTTGTTTTGTTTTTAATTTTATTTTGATTTGGGTGAAGATTTACAGAGTAAATTCACTTTTCATACAGCAGTTCACATATACTTTGTCTCATGTCAT